TTTGCACGTTCCTTTGCGCTAGCTGCAATTGCGTGCACAGGTAGATAAAGACATAGGAAGACTGGTTCTTTTGTTCCACCACCTCTTACGGCTGTCTCGAGCCTCTGCTTTCGATAAAGTTTTACCCCTTCCGTGTTGATTCGGTTAGAACGAAATGGTTTGATAGCGAGATCGGAAATGAGAGTCCGAGAAGAGGTGATACTGGAGAGAAGATTTGTTATTCGGAGGAAACACACCTACATTCTTTCCACGGAGTTTCCACTGACCTTTCATAATTTACTGGAATACTTGTAACAAATTCGCAGAGCATCGGTTAAGAACTACTGCTTTACGCGTTAAACGCGTGACTAGATTATTCTAATGAAGGAGTGACACAAGAGAGACTGAAAATCCTTCGTGGAAAGAAGGACAAAAGGTAGGTTCGATTTTGAATATCGGGTCCGAGACTCTGGTAACGCCTATTGGATACTAAATTCTGAGAGCAAGATTTCTTGGATGCATCGATGAATAATTAAATGCCATTATTATTCTCGTAGATAGCCGTTTAAATACCATATCCATCGTCCACAGTTCCCGTTACGTTTACCAGGTCCAGAGACGTACACTTTGCATACAATAATTCACCGAAAAGCCGATAACTTAATCCTATTTAGAAGTTGCTTTATAATCACTATAACCACCGGCCCGGAATTAGGGCTGTCACTGCAAAAACTAATAGCGGATTAAGTTTTAGAGCAGCCACGATTAAAGGGATTAAAAGGGTAAGCTGGAAATTTACATTCTACCACTGCATCCAGCCTCTCTATTCCATTAAATATCTCTTAAGCGAGGTTATTCTACTCTGCATGATCCAAAAACAAAAAAAAGAATGTAAGGGACAATAAGAATTTCTGTACTTTTTCGAACGTTCGGATCATGCATATCCAAATGTATTTTAGTAAAATTCGAAAGATTGACGAAATCGAGTGAGACGCGTTAATAATTATTATTTCGCGTAGGTGTGCGTTAATTAAGAGATTATTATTACGCATTTAGGCGAGAAACGCAAATTACAATCACGACCCTGAAGCATAATGCGCTGTGATTCGGGTCGTTGCGTTCTGATTCCCGATTATAATGTTTACGATTATACGATCACAGACTGGCGAATATTCCTATGTAATGGGGAATATTAATGGAGAATCGTGATTATAAATTTCACGACGACTGCCCCGTGAAGAATTTCTGTCCAACATTGATACTCGATATTCGCGATAATTCGATACGTCGCATTTCGAAATTCATTTTAAATATTTCTTTCCTGATCATTCTCGTGGAAAAAATGAGAGAAAACTTGATTTCTACTACGTATTCATGAAATCTTCGATAATATTAACTACATACATATTCATTACCTATTTTTATTACCTATTATAGACTCGTATCTCTGAGGTCGGAAAATTATTCCTATTTTTAACTACATCACATTGAAACGTTCCCTTTTAGCCAGCAAGTAACATCAAAACCAGAGAATCAATAAAAACAGACTCGTCATGTTTGTTCCCCTGTGGTCTACAATAATCATTTCGAGTAGTTCCAGTATTGACTCTACCTCAAGTACATTAACATCAATGCGATCGATCACTCGATCGGCCGATCGTATCAAGGACTCATCGATCGTATCCACAAAACGAACCAAACGGACCAAAGTCGGCATTGAATCGCAGGAAATTTCATGAATTTCCGAGAGACGATAGACATAACAGCGATAGGTAGTGCCAGCCACCGTTTCTCCTGTAGATGATGATTATTTGCTGGACGAGTGACGAGCATAAGTAGCCCAAAAGCCGACAGCGTAAACAGATGGGCCTCCATTAACGCAATTACGTACGGTTCCGATGCACCTACGGATCGTCCACGTTATGACGGGCATTGGAATCCATTAATACAGCTTCGGTTGCGCCCAGGTTCATTATCGTGCATTAATTAGCAACACCCTATATCACCGATGCTTGCAATGCTATCGGCCGGGCTTGCTATTTCGTGGCTAACCGCGTGTTCGTGATGTTCCACCGCGATGACGGTGGTGGTGGTGGTGGTACCCCTGGCTAATCCGATAGGACGACATCAAATTGCTTTTGCCAGAAACCGGCGATTTCTGCCGTAGTCTCGGTCTCTCGATATTCCTTCCATGCGAAACTCTTTATTTCTGCCATATTTTCCCTGTATTTTTTCCACATTTCTGGTATACATGCTCTTCCGGTTCTCTTTTCCAGTCAAACTCGTGGATATATTCTATGGATACAAAGGAGAAAAAATATTATATATGTACAGGCTGTAATATATGCCTCAAATTTGCTAAAAATAGAAAAAACTGTAAGAGGAACCAGTTCAATAGCCTTGTCGTTCGTTTCTTCATAAGTGCACTCTTCTAATGCAATCATACATTAATATATGCCTCAAATTTGCTAAAAATAGAAAAAACTGTAAGAGGAACCAGTTCAATAGCCTTATCGTTCGTTTCTTCATAAGTGCACTCTTCTAATGCAATCATACATTTTTTTTCTTCTGTCGACTTCTTACGTAGTTCTGTATAAAAAAAGTACTTGAGTATAAGTGTAAAAAAGTATTCGAGTAAAAGTATAAGTACTGTGCAACCATTCTGTTGACTTGTACTACTCCTTTAAGCTATGAGTTGACCTGTACTACTGAATTGTATTTCTGATTCGTATCCAGGGATTTTATGTTTGAATCAGGACTTTAGTAATGTTAGGTGATCTTGAATTTCTAAAATATCCTTACATTCTTCACAAAACCTCAATTTGCTTGTTCTCTTCTACCTAGTTGCAAAAGTTTTCCATTCACCACCTATAGTCTTCACAAATTTGTTCGTCGAATAAATCCATCACGTGATTCAGTATGCAGCAACGAAAGAATTATTCCATCCAACAATACGTGAGACAGATAGATTAAACAAAGGGAATTCTAAAGGTTACTCGGCTGGAACAGAAATGCTGCTCTCCAAATGTCTGCCTCAGTCTGTCTGTATCTACTTACGACGGAGACAAAGTGAAAACGGACTACTATACACCACCTTTTTCAGGAGAACGATCTAAACAAGCTGTACAGATAATTAGCACGTATCAAATTATCATTGACTACCTTCGGAAAGACATTAACTATTACCGAAACCCCAACAGCACAGAATTATAATATCAGAGACTAAACCTGGCCACCGAACTAAATCCAACCCTAATAAAACACGCTTGTTCCAGAAGTCGAGATCATCTGCGAACAAGATGATGCTTAACCCCTTTCCACAACAACATAACTGAAGAAATAAAAAAACTCGTACAAGAAGAAAAAAAATACTCCAAGTGAAAGAAGAAAATCAACCCACGTAGCATCGAAGAAAACGAGCAAAAATAAAATCAGCGAGAGAGAAAGGAAGAGAGAAGGAAAGAGAGAAGGCAAGGAAGAAAGAAGAGAGAGACGAGAAAAATAAAAAGTGGAAAGGACGATGCGCCAAAAAGAGAGAGAGAGACAGAAGGATGGAGAAAATAGCGAGACCGAGAGAGAAGGTTGAAGCAGTGCGACCAGAATTGGATAGGATAGGAGAACTGGTGATTACAGAGGCCGGGAATTCCACAGGGAGAGGCAGCAGTCCCGCGGGTTTCCACCTAATTCCATCCTGGCTGACTACTGACTCTGTCTCCCTCTTCCATCTCCCTCTTTCCACCCCTGTTTCCCTCTCTTTCTCTACCTAGGTAGCTCACTTCGTGTTTCTATCGCTATTTCGCTCTCTGACAGGGTTCGTAGCCTCTCCTCTAACCCTCTCCTTTCATCGTGTACCATATCTCCCTCCATTTTACCCTGTTACGTTCATTTTCCCTTGCTTTTCTCTCTCTTAGCCTGTTATCTATGGCTTTCTCTGTTGCTCCAAATGGTTGACCGGTTCCTCCGTCTCTCTCGTTATCCCGATTATCCGAGAACACGTACGCCCTGATCATTCCGGATGAGAGCAAGCTGCTCGTACGCTCTTTCTCCATTGTAACCAGCCTTGTCACCTTCTCCTTCATTCATCCAACAGGGAGATCCCTTTTTTCTCCTTCCTTTTCTTTCTTTCTTTCTGTTGCCGATACGGACACCTGTGTCTTCAGCAGATCGCTCGAAGAGCGCGGTTTACAGAAATCGACTCAAGCTCTCGGTCGAAAAATAGAGAACTAGTGATCGGGATCTTGCTATGGTTCTTATTTCTCAGTATGCTAGAAAATAAAATTTTTATGTAATCTTTGCATCTATATTTGGTGATGAAGACAATCGCCATTTCGAAATTTATTGGAAAATATTAGATGTTTTACCGAGTATACAGTTGGTTGTAATTTTTGTAAAATAAATTCCAAGAATTCTGGTTAGGTTAGGTACATACGATCTTAATAAATTCCCCGCCTCTGAATAAAGATCGACGCCTATGGTAGCTTCGTGAAATCATATTGTTCAATTTTCGAAAAAAATTTAAAATCTGATCTGGGCATATACGATTAGGATATATAAAATTAGTAATTAAAAATAGCTGACAACCTACATATTTCTACTTTCAGATTTCGAATGACTTCGAAATTCGTATTCGATCTGAAATCTTGTACAGCGACATCTTTCCCAATCTTGGCCCTCGTGACACGTGACCTCGCGTCCGTGTTCCCACAATAATTCATTCCAATGATTTCAAAATCCATCCTGCACGAACATTTTCGTATATAAAACAATATTTTCCAAGAATCTGCACGACTTCCAATTTCTTGTTGACTATACACGCCAAAGTCTCGATAAACACCATGCCTTGAGCAGTCACGTGTCGCAATCATATACAGCGAATTCGTAAACACCGCGGAAAGAAAAAGAAACATCTGCACGGCGAGACGCCGTTCGAACGCTTGCACGCCACATAACGCGAGTTTCCGAAGCTGACTCATGAAATTCCTGTGTATCTGATAACGGACGAAAAGATTTTAAGTACTCACGTTTCAGAGATCGTGGTTTCGCCTGCTTCCTTCTGGACATAGCCGCGTCACTCTGCCAGTTGCTAGCAATAACAGATCAGCAGCAACGATTCAGTCACATTTCACACTTCTCCTTAGAACTCGATCCATCCGTGCACTAGAAACGACCGACACTATGTTCGAACGTCGACAGTTTTGTTTCGAAATGCGCACCGTAGACAAAAACTACGAAACTGCGATGAGAACCGTCGAATTCGCACGAATTCGAACGAGTAAACCGTTTTCGGTTACCCGCGCTTTGTAACTATGGCGGCAGGAAGTAACATGTTCGAGAATCGAAAGATCGAATCGCGCAACCGATCGGAGAACGATTTGATAATGCAACGCCGCAAAATTACGATAAAATTATGACAAACTTTTCACTAAAATACTCGGATTTTTTGTACTGTTTGAGTACCGGAAACCACGTGGCCTCACGTGGTTCTTGCATAAACGAACGTTTAAACGCGACACAACATGAACACAGATCAAGCGCGCTCGGAAGACGCGCGACGAATGACACCGTACTTGATACCGCAACGTCGCTGGTGCAGAGAACCACTGAGACCCCCACTACGCGTGCGTCATGCCTTACTGATAGCGGCCTGCGCAATTCTTCCTTCAATACAGCTGAAATAATTTCATATAGAAATTACATGGATTGATATTTCTGACAACTCGTTGATTGCTTTCAGTTTGTTGTACTTTCATATAATTATACTATAAATTTTGGCTATTTATTTGATTTTTTTGGAAATTTGTTAATCATAAATAAGTTCCTGGTACATTTAATACCTTTGGACGATATTTCCTAACAGGTTAGAATCTAAATATTTAAAAAATAACTATGTATTTAAAGTAATCTGGTGTAATGTGATGTTCTGCATTTAAATTACATAATAAAGGTTAAATTGATGTTAAAATTGTTTCAGCCGAAAAAATATGCTTTCGTTGGAACGTATCCCTGACCAAATTGGACATTTGATTTTGACAGAGGATGGTGCTGTATTAACGGTAATATATTTTCACTATGTAAATTAATGTGGAAAGATTACTATATCACATGTTAATTATTAAAATTTCTATTTTAAAGTTAATATGTTTAATTTTAGTCTGGAGGTGAACTAGAAAATGATGAAAGGTTTGCAAACATTGTTGTAGGTTTAGTCACATTAACTAATAAAATCGACCCCAAAGGATTTCCTAACAATGAGGCATTTGATACAATATCAATAATATATCCAGATCATTGTTATGTTATTTGTCTCTCAAACAAAAAGATTCATGTAGTAAAAAAAAGATTAATATCCTCGACAACTGCGATTGTAGAACAACCCCTCATCGAAGTATGAATAAATATTACCTGTCTGTACAAAAATAAGATTAAAATGATACTAAGTAATTTCTGTTAAATATATAATAAACATAAGTTTGCAAGTTTAAGATGTAATTTGATAAAAATGTAAAATAAAACTATGAAATTAGTACTTGCAGATTTTTTAAAAATATTTTTAAGATTTATAATTTTTTATTGATATAATGTAAATAAATATGTAATACTAATAAATTCATCATAATATTACCTGTTGGTGTTTCATTTTTGTATACAATTATACATCATATATGTATTCAACAATACATTATAAATTATGTTAATTACATATATACATCTTTCCATTACAAGTATAAAATGTTATGAATCATTATCTGTATCAGAACTATCATAAGTAACTAACGTTGTATTTAACGTACTAGAAGTCATTTTTGATGTCGAGGGTTCTTGTTGGATAAGATCGGGAAATTTAGGTGTCTTGTCTATTTGTTTTTTAATATTATTGCTTGATATAGAATGTAACAAACTTTTTTGTTTATCTCTAGATCGTACAATAGTAATCAATCGTTTCAAAGGATTGTGCCCATTCTTCTTTACATCTAAAACACATGAAACAAATAATGCAACAATTTGGATTCATAAATTAGTTTTTACTGATATGTTATTTAAATTATTACCCCTTTTATGCATCAATAATTTGGCCAATTTTATATCATCTTCATGTTCATTAACTAATTCAATATTTAATCCGTTTTTTTTAAGCAATATTTGATCCAAACCCTGTTTCTTTTGTAACTCTTTTTTCCGTGTCTGTAACATTAAATATTTATTAGTAACCAGTTATCAAAATATTTGTAATATAAGAAATCTATGTCCAACATACTCTAAATGCCGAACGTAATGCACAATTTGAAGTATAATCATCCTTCCACGTGGCATCATTTAGTGCTATTGCGTTTTCCAAAGAAGAATCTCGTGATTTTGCTGTTTTCTTATCATCTATACCATGTTCTAACTTATACATAGCATCATCATATAATCTACAAGATATTTCTTTTGTTTCTGGTACAACCTGTTCATTTTCTTTAGGATCCCATCTATTTTCTTGACGTCTTGCACCACTTACTATGACATAATCTAAATTCTATGTGAAAAAATGTTTGTTTAAATTTTTATAACCAAATATAATAACTAACTTACAACAGACATTAAATATTATTGCTCACCGCTGGATCAGTTTTTATTTCAAAATGATTGTCACAAAGATGACATTTCATACGAAACTGATATAAAGGTGTACTATAATACATTCCAATTTTCTTTTTTTCAGCATTGTAACGAACACCCATACCTATATGATTGCCACATCCTTCACACCATATATTATATGGCATTTCAAATCTAATGATAAGGATGCCCATGTGTAATTTACGTGCCCTTTCACGTAATGCATGAGTACCTAGAAATTTATTGAGTCCTCCAACACGAGGATCATAATCAGGTGGATAATACAAATTTGTGCCTTTACGTTCTCCCATTGTTCTATAAAATTAAAACAATCATAAGTGTTAAACAAAATACTTAAACATTTATATTAAATATATTGTTTCATAAATTATTTTAAGTATTATTTTCATATCATATTTAAGATATATTACTTATCACTGATACCTTGATTTTTAATCCGTCACTGAACAAAATTATAAATTCAAGTTTTTATTTATTACTTTGTACGTGTATAGAAGAGATTTTGACATATGTACATCTAACTGTCCTACGTTATGCTAGCTAAAGGTAGAAAATTATCGATTATAATATCGAAATTGCTGGTGATTCCAACTGTCTGAGTTTCGATAGTTAATTTCTACTATCGATACTATTCGATAGTCGAAATTTCATATCATTCTTCGTTTTGTATGCTTGCATCCCGATGATGATATAACTTTTTATATTTTATTATTCTTTTAATCACAGACGTAAAGAATATCAATATAAGGTAAAATGAAAGCATTATTATTTCAATGTGCTTATTCACTTTGGTTAATATAACCTAGTATTTTCATTTTATAAATTAATATTATGTTTTTCATTTTAACAAGAACATTACCAATTTGAATTGTCTATGTAATTCTGACCTAAATTTAAAAAGAAATAGTTTTAAATCCAGAAGTAATCTTATGAAATAGAAGGAAAAAAGGCATTTCTAAAATTTATAAATATTTAAAAAAATAAAGCTGACAAAAAATTTGTCAAATGTCTAAATCGTAGTAATAGACATATAACTGATATACATATTACAAATTTGCATCATTACGTGATTTCATGCAAATTTGGATAGAGAAAAATACGATAAATCTAAATTTGAAAATAAATTATGCCACAGACTCATCTGTGATTATACTCTTGCACTAATAGTATCTGTGATCAAAATCATAATACCAGTAAAAGATTAAACACAAAATTAAGAAATTCTCATTTTATGCACACATTATATGATAGTAACATAATAAGAAAAAAGGACTAGATATGGTTTCAATATTGATAATTAAATCATATGGCATCAGAAAATAAAGAAAATTTGTGTACACTTTCATAGTATGTATTGCAAATGAATTACATATAAGCAGAAGTACAGTGATGAATATTAAAAAAAAAGAAAGAAAAAAATTGTTTTAATTTTGAATTACAAAAAGGGATGCCCATATTTAAAAGAATAATTTATTAAAATATCTACCATATATGAAAATAAAAAGAGCTTTTAGGTGTTACCAACAATCCCAAATATAAGTCACAAATATTTATGATTATAAAAATATCTTACAATATTTATGTAAATGACAATACATTCTTAAAAATTATATGCTTATATATAAAAAACCATAATTTTAAAATAAATCTTATTTGTATTACAATCATCGTTATAAAATGTAGAAATACATTATGGATTAACATATATTTGTAATACAAAATTAGAATTAATGTGCAAAATGTAAGAACATGAATATATCATTTTTTTCTTTTCCTGAATTTTTTTCTCTCAAAAGCAAATCGCTTTATAACTTGATATCAATTAAATGCAAACATAATAACACAATACTATCGAATAATAGTACTTATTTACTATATATAGCTATATATAGCTCAATAATGTTTTGAACTCTTAAGAAAACTAACTAAATAATTTGCCATTGTATAAAAAATGTTAAAAATATAACTAAGTTATTTTGCATAAAACATAATCGCGTATCATACTTTATGCTTGTTTGTTTTGCACGTTAACAGGATAAACTTCTATGCCAGTAAAAATTACAGATAGTACAATAAATTTTCCATTTTTGTACTTGGTGGACGACGTATGAACTGTGCCACGAAGAAAGCAAGTTTATGAGCATACTGACAAGGTGCAGGCACCTTTATGGTACCAGACCAATTATAATACATATGACACAACTTATATGTCAGTCTTTGCATTTGGTCGGCTTTCCAGCCTGTTGTGTCTGCAATTACACTGTATGCACAAGGCGACACTGTACCTTGGCGTACACTTTGAGATATAATGAAAAAGTCGTATTTCAGTGGATTAGTGATAACATCGTCTACTACTGTGCCTGGTGGAGGATTGTTCTGATTATGAAAGACGCGAGTATTAATTCGTTTCGTAACTATCACAAATGCCATTTTAACGGCAGTAGGATCACCGTAAATACTGTTCAGTTTAGACTTTAGTTGTGTTACTTCGTGCTCGTATACGTACGGTACTTGTCCTTCGCCTACACCATCACGATAAATTACAATATGTGATGGTAAAATTTTATTTAACTCCTTATAAGTGTGCAAAGCTTTTACAAGATTTACTGAGAATTCATTAGAAAGTTCCTCTCCAGTAGTATGAGCGCTGACTGCACTGAAATATCTTGTCAAACTTTTATCTATCGATGCCACCATTGCACCAAAATCACGACTCTTATCATTAGGATCGTGACATACATCAAATCCAACTACCATCAAATTAATCGGTGGCAATTCAACACTCCATGGAGCACCACCAAGTTTACAATTTAATTGAATAGCTACTTTTGTAGCTATCGATCTTATATCTTTGGCTGATAAATTCTTTGCGAGGAAAACTTGTGAAGGCACCGGCCTATCGACAGTACATTTTTTCTTTATTGCACTGTATCGATCGACTCGATTATTTGATACCACACAAAAAATTAATTCTGGGTTAGAAGAGCTCATTATCCTTTCGAGGGCGTCAGAATAAGTATTAGATCGATCATCATTAATATCATAATACCTAGGATTCTCAATTCTACAGCCCATTCCCTCTCCACATGATCTCACCGCTCCAACGAACCTCTGCAAAATAATACATTGTGGTAATGAATAAGTAATAATAAGAAATAAAATGTAGTTTTGAAACATTTTAATCTATCTTACTTCAACATCGCGTCTCATACGACCCATAGAGATTAAGACCCAATTGCTTAATCGAGCCGAATTAAACATAGGTTTATTATGCAATTCTCTTGTCCAATTTGCAAACTGTCCAGCTGTAGCTATTCGATTGCCACCCAATACGATCTTTTCTGGTTGTAAAATACGCGCTGGTACATCAACTAATCTTTCATCAAGTTGCATGTTCCAATCGTTTAATTCCTCCACAATTGCTTTCTCCTGTCGGAGTCTTCTATTGAAAATCATTAATTTATCTATACGTGCCCTCGGAGACACTCGAGTATGTTCTGCCAATGCACGCATTAGATGGAAATTTTCTCTCATATTATCTGTTAAACCTGCACAAAAATTGTTTACAATAAAATTTAATAATTAAATAATAATTTTTAAGGATATCAATTATACAAGTATGAAATGAAAAGAAAAAAATACCTGTTGCACGACATAGCTCAGGCACAAGATATACTAATTCAGTTTGGCCAGAACGACGTTCTTTTGGTTTTAATCTAGTCACCAACATTGGTTGGGAATCGTTATGAATTCTGATTTGATATTTGGTTCTATAGTAATCTTTGTACGATGTTTTTTCACCACTTCTCAATTGAAAAGTTGAATTAGGGGTTGTATCATAGTCTATGTCTGTTATACGATATGTATTGTTGTTGTAATCAGTAAGTACAACTGTACCAACAACTTGACTTTCAAACAATTTCTAGAAATATACAAGTACTTAGCATAAATACGTAAATAAATTTAAAAGTACATTAATAACCAAAATTATTACCTTATAATCACTCTGACTTTGATGATAACAATCAGTGAGTACATCCAACAAAGTCTGTTGACGCATGACTTTATATATAATCTCAGAACACATAAGAATGTTATTTTCATGTTGTTTTATAGATGTGAGATAACCAGGCCAGAGTTCCAATCTGAAGTCGCGTACCTCTACCTACGTTTTAATTATAATTGTTATTAAATAATTCATGAATACAAATATTAAATAATTATGACATAAAACTACTTTTCTACTTACTTTACTGCGTGCATCGAAATAATCGCGTCCAACAAGCTGAAGTTTTAATAGATCCAAACATTTTCGCATAATTATATTGAAAAATTGAATATAGTGTGGATCACCTTTTTTCATATCGCCAACAAGACGTATGGTGATTCTGATTTTAGTCTCATCTGACTGTCTAACAGACCAAACTTCAAGTTTCTAATATCAAATTTGAATCAATGAAAATTCATATCCCACAAAACTAAAATTAATATAATTTAATTTAATAAAAATATCTTACATCTTGTATAAGCCTACTAGTATACAGAACAGTTCCATCAAAAACATATGCTCCCAAAGTTTTTTTATGAAGTCTAAGTAATCCTTTACGAACGATAGTTCGATCTTCTTCTGGTGCAAAATCGACTCGATACTGATATAAACACCAATCAGTTGTTGTAAGTAACTTAAAATAGTTTGCTTGTAACATTACTTTATGTCCAGTACTGCCTAAAAATTTCAGTTTTTATGTTATGTATTTTGTACACATACAAATATAAAAATACTAAATGTATTAACCTTTCTTGGTAACTAAATTCGCTGGTTTGGTTTGTATTTCCGGAAGTACTACACGTTTTCCTCGCATAGCTCCTCTTCCCAATGTTCCTCTTCCTGCATCTCCTTCACCGCCACACACTAAAATATATATACACGTACAATATTCATATGTGAACTTTTGCATATAACCTCACTGTTAATCTAATAATATAAAAACCATCTGGAAAAGTCATGGCTAAATAACATAATCAATTGCAAACTTTTCAAATTTCCCTTATTATATTCTAATAAAAATCAATGATGTTCATTCAATATACCTTCCATTGGTTCAGAAGCACTTTCCTCTTTATATCCTGGCCCACTTTCACTCTTAGGATCTAATCTTTGAGTGGCTCTCCCAGCACTCTATGAAGTAGAGTAGTTAATTAAAATGATAAGAGAACATTAGAGTAAAGTAGCAGTTTAAATGCTAAATCTACTGTAAACTAATATAGAAGATACAATATGTAGAATAAGAATAATAAACGCAAGTATATTTACTTTTAATCACGTACTGATTATAAACAACCTTAAATTTTGAGAACAATATATATCAATTAAAATAATATCACATACCAAATGTAACAATATATTTAACAATAAAACCAACACTAATTTATACTTTTTTTGAATATTATATATAATATAAT